TACCACAGAGCGAGCGAACACCAAGCTCATTCAGCCCAGTGTGAAACACAAAGAGGCGGAGCCATTACCGACTCACTGAGCTCAGGTAGAATGAAAGAAACAGCTGCTCGAGTCCTTCATCAAACTGTGACGTGAAGTAAAGCTCCGCCCACCGCTGCACACACAAATCTGCAGATGATCGGGGGCGTGTTTAAAACGCTCACGGGGGCGTGTGGCGTACCACGCCATATTTATTTTCAAGGCTTTCTGAACAGTTTTCAGGCTGAGAGTGAAATGTTAGTTACATTTCATTAAAAATATAAAAATAAACTGATGGTGGTCGGGTCGGTCGACGCCATCATAACATCAGAAACGCTTCAGAACGCGGACACGCTCGCTGTTGTTCATCGCAGACACGGTGTACGTACTCACACGCCGTGTGAGTATTTGGACGCTGCGAGGACAAAAACGATTGGTCACTAAAGCTCTGATGTCTGATCGGCGGCCATGTTTAAAACTGTCGTCTGTGCAGGCGGTGCGAGCAGACGCCGCCCTCAGCGTGGCGCAGGCGCAGCACCTGCGGCAGCAGCAAGAGGACAACAGCTGCAGGGAGCGGGCGGAGGTGCTGCAGGCGCGGCTGGTGGAGGAGCAGAGGAGGAGTCTGCAGCTGGAGGAGGAGCTGAGGCAGCAGGAGCAGAAGAGCAGCTCTCAGATCAGCACGAAGCAGGTGGGTCAGAGGTCAGAGGTCACCCTCTTATGAGGAGAATGATGACGACCGCCGCCCGCAGCAGCGGCGGGCCGTCCCTCTCACTGTCACTTCCTGTGTGTGTGTGGCGTTCAGGATCAGTACGAGAAGGCGATGGCGGCGCTGCAGCAGAGGGCGGAGGACGTGGAAACCAAACTGAAGGCGGTCCGTCTGCTCCTGCAGGAAAAGGTGGAGCAGCTTAAAGAGCAGGTGAGCGTTGGCGCCGCTTCTCCGCCATCCACAAACATCCGGTCGAACTTTGACCCGTTGCCGTTTTTTCCCACAGCTGGCGAGGAACGCCAAGTCAAGCGCACTGCTGAAGGACCTGTACGTGGAGAACTCGCAGCTGATGAAGGCGCTGCAGGTCACCGAGCAGCGGCAGAAACGCGCCGAGAAGAAGAACTTCCTGCTGGAGGAGAAGGTCGGCGCGCTCAACAAGCTGCTGAGGGACATCGTCCCTGCATCGCTCGCCACATAACCATGGCAGCGCAGAGCAGAAGGCCCCAGCGGGAGGGGGCGGGGCCTCACCTGTGTGAAGCAGGTGGATGTCTGGAGCACACGCGTTCGGTGTGTCAGTATTATCTTTGTTTATAATGAAACTTTTTATTTTTGCGTCATTGAAATAAAGTTTTAATGTCTCTGTGACTCCGCCTCCTCCAGCTGATTCACTTCCTGTCACACAGCAAATCGCTGGTTTATCTCAAACGATCAACATTGACAGTCTGTGGTGTCAAACATGCAGCGTGGGGACCAGAACCGGCCGCCTCAGCGCCTTGAGGCGACTTTTGTTGTGATTTGGCGCCCGATGCTGTAGAAATAAAACTGAATGGTCCGGTGTGAGCTGTGAGGAGCGCCGGCCGATGTTTGGAGTGGCAGAAAGCCACGAGGACGCGACGGTCACGGCGTTAAA